CTTTGCCTCAATCAAAAATTTTTCTTGTTGCCCCCCCATTCCATTTGGGCCTCAGGCAATCCCTGTGAAATGCTTTGGGGAAAAACAACCACCTCACTAACAAAGCAAACACAAACCCGGCCCCACAGCGGCTCCCAGCTTCTTTCTCCCTCACCCTATCATTTTCCCAAAAATCTGAAGCCACCTCTTTGGAGACTGCGGGGCTCTGGAAATATCGAAGGCGGCGTCTCCCCAAACCCAAACCTATTTTTTCCCCCCACTCAGAACAGAGGCTAGCTTGCTTTGCTGACTGGTGTGTGACAAAGCAAAAACTTTGATTTTCCCACCAGTCACCTAACATTGCCACTGTGGGAAAATTCTACTTAGGTCTCCGGGCAGGCTGGGTGAGCGTTCATGAACGTCTGGTACCCGCCGCACCATTTATCTTTCTCTGGGGTGGTTCTTACCTTGCCGACATACAAAGGGTCCGTCCCTGTGTACTCTTCCAGGACAAAGAATTGGTTCCAAACCCAGCTCCTCTTTGCCCGCTGGTGGAACTGCAGCTCGTCTGCCAGGCGTGCCCCTAGCTGGCCTGGTGCAGGTGTCCCCAGGAGAGCAGCGGTTGTCAGGTTCATCAATCCCCAGACAAACAAGGACATGCCAAGTCCAAGCCAGCGCTTTGCATTGCTCATTCTACCAGAGGTCCACATGGATGGCCAGGGTTTTGGAAAGCGAAACGCCAGATGGCCAGCCACTGGAATGCGAGTCTTCTCTAATGTTAAAGTGGTACAGTTTCTTGGGCACGTGCGCTTCGCAAAAGAGATCCTGCCTCACATCTGTCCGCGTCCGCGTGCAGTTGGCTTGCCTGTCGAGTGAAAGAAAAAGAGTGAGACGAAGGTGCATTCTTTCCCGTGGGCTGGCAGTAAGCTTGCAGTTGTCAGCTGGGCTGCTAACTGACAAGGTCAGCGATTCAAAACCACCATCGTGCTCGGCAGGAGAAAGATGAGGCTTTCAACACGCGTAAAGATTACAGTCTCGGGAAACCCAGAGTCTCTCAGAGTCGGAATCGACTTGATGTCAGTGAGTTTGAGCTTTCAACGTGCCATAGAAATGCTTGAGTAATAATTATTTTGATTGAAAAACCGCGAAGACAACTTACCTTGCCATAATCAATCCCAAACTCTTTGGAGAGGAACTTCTGCACTAATATAGAGAGGGAGTACATTTCTCCTTATTTGGTACCTTAGCTTCAGGAGGATGCTGTATTATTGATTGGCTGGAATTAATGGTGTGCTCTTTGAAATATTTATGATCACACAGCCTCCTGAACTTTAAAAAGAACTCATTTCTAAAATTTACAGCAAATAACTAATATTTTCATTAGCCCACATGCTTTTCTCATTAAAAGAAAACAAAAGAAAAATCAAGCTATCTCATTTGCCATCCATAATTATGTCTAACTTTGTTATTTAGGAGCCGTGGTGGCACTGCTGTTAAGCACTCAGCTGCTAACTGGAAGGTTGTGGTTCAAGCCCACTAGCTACTCCAGCGGTCCTCAACCTGTGGGTCTCGACCCCTTTGGCGGGCGAACGACCCTTTCACAGGAGGCGCCCAATTCATAACAGTAGCAAAATGACAGCTATGACGTAGCAACGAAAATGATTTTATGGTTGGGGTGGTCACCACAGCATGAGGAACTGTATGAAAGGGTCGCGGCATTAGGAAGGTTGAGGACCTCTGAGCTACTCTATTGGAGAAAGAGGTGGCCCTTTGCCTGGGTGAATGCCATCTTTGAAAACCGACTAGGGCAGTTCTACCCTGTATTACAGGGTAGCTATGGACCAGGCTGGACTTCATGGCAAGGTGATTGGTTTCAGGTTTGCATGTTTGGTTTTTAACTGATGATCCTAGGCATCTTGGGCTTCCTGTACAAGCATCCAGAGACCCTTCCTGACTTTGATCCTTCTCTGAGCAGACAGTGGGACTCAAGATTCCTAGCCTACTGATTCCCTCTCAGAGAAATGCATAGGGGCTGCCGAAGCAGTCTCACTAGGATTTGATTGGCCAGTTAATCACGACGTCATTCGCAGAAGACTTGAAAGTTCTAACAATCAATTCCCACTGTGGGCAGGCTCCAAACCAAACTCACTGACATCGAGTCAGTTCTGACTCATAACTACCCTCCAGGGTTCTCAGGACTGTAACTCTTGACGGGAGTAGAAAGCCTCGTCTTTCTCCCATGAAACAAATGGTGGTTTCAAATGGCTGACCTGGTGGCTAGCAGCCAAACACATAACCCTACTATCTCACCCAGGCTCTGTGAGCATGCTGGAGAGTCTAAATAACACATTTCCTGTCCTGAAGGAAAAGACTGCTTTAGGCAAAGGGACATGATGCTACCATGGGGACACCTTTGCCTCAATCAAAAATTTTTCTTGTTGCCCCGAGTCTGATGAGCTGGTGACCTCACTCCTAGGCTGTGACACGCTAACCTCTGCTTCCCTTCCTTGGCTGGGTTAGTGAGGTGACACGCTCTCAACCCTTTGTCAAAACAGCCCAGGTGACTTCTGCGGGCTTACCACTTCTACTGTTAAATTAGAGAACTGCAGTTACCCACTCTTGCTCTTGGGCTTTCAGACCCGAGCAACTGAACATGCTTCCATTCAAACGAATGCACTGGGGCTCACTCGGTGACCACCTTCCACCCGTCACCATCAAACCCGGCTGCTGTGATTGCCTCACCGATCTGCACGACTGCCACAGCCAAGGAATGAACAAGATCACCTTATAATCCTCTCGTGTCACATTCCCCTTGATTTCTGCCCAAGAAGCCCATCCTATGAGAACTGATAAAAAGCTGGGAAAGGGCACTAGAGATTTTATTCTTTTTTAATTTGGGTAAGAAAATGGCAAACTGTGCCTGTCAATAGTTCTAGTTAAAAAGGCAGATTGGTAACTAAAAGCAAGCCAGGTGTGCCTCAGAAGGTGACAGGCTTGTTAATAAAGAACAATGGTGCTGCTGGCAGGTGGCTTACCAAATAGTAGTAGGTCCCTCTCTCTTTGGATGAGTGGACAGAAACCCAGGGCTAAATTCTCTGTTGCCTAACAAGAGGAGATGTTCTAAAAGAAATAACCTTAGCCCAGAAGATGAATTGATGACAAAGGTTGATGAGGGATAGCTAGCCAGTTTCAGGGACTTAGAAGGGCCTTGATGGACAAACAAGGAAGCAAGCAATCCGATGCTGCATGCTGTGCTTGGTGTCAAGGCTTTACCTATCCGTATGTCCCTAAAAAGTACTAAATTAAGAGTCAAATATTCTGGCACCGGGTCTCATCCTCATCACCTCTGACTTGCCCAGAGTTTCTGAACTTCAATTTCCTCATCTGAACAATGTTCCTCTTGCCCCTCACTTGCAAGGCTCATGTGAGTACCAAAGGATATCATGCATGCAACCCAAACCCACTGCCTTTGAGTTGATGCTGACCGAGGTGGGCTTTCCGAGGCCATCAATGATTACTTGAGCAGGCCGCACTTCGTGCTCCTGCAGAGCCACTGGTGGGTTTGACCTAGGGGTTAGCAATCCAATGCTTCTCCGGCAGCATGGCCACGGCTCGGTAGGCAAAGTGCTCTGTACATAACCAAGACACCAGTTGGCATTTAAACAGCTGTTTAAGGAGACATGGCCTGTGTCATGTGTGAAAGTGATGGTGCTGAGCTCCAAGCATGCACTTTTGGGACCCACATTTTCTGTATCACTAGCTCTACCATGTATCATCTGACAGCTCTCTCTATTTGCCAGAGGTATTATCTGGTAGTAAGTCTGGCCCACCTTACTTCTGTAATAACCAAACATTATTTCTTTCTGTCTGAGGAAACTTAATGAAGGACTAACTACGAGAAAACTCTTCTGGTATAGTGAAAAATTCTTTCTCGGATTGCATTGATTAAAGATAGAATCCCTATCTATTCTATTTAACATATCACCTCCATGCATGCATCTCAGGGACCCACGTATTTTCTACGCTCGAATGGCTGTTCTGTTCTCTGACTAGTTCTAGCATCTTGCCTGGAGTGGAATGTCTGTGGGCTATGCAGATGTCCCTTCCGCTAGTCACATTGGTCACATTTTCTTGGCAGACCAAGATCTATGGGAGTGTTGAGAACTTTTACCAAGCAATGTCCCTTCAGTTACCGAATCTTTGGTGACACAGCAGTTACAAGATGTTTTGTCCATCAGGCCAGCAGCTGCTCCATGGGAGAATGAGGTGGCTTCTTCTGTAAAGACGGGCAACCCCGTGGGGAGGTTCTCCTTGCTCCCAGAGGGTCACTCCGAGCCAGAATTGAGTCAACATTGTTTGTTTTCTTCGTTCCTTCTTTTTCTCCTATTTCTTACAAACTAGGCACGCGCTCCTGTCAGTGAAGTCCCCTGGTAGTGTGGTAGGTCAGGAATCAGGCTGCGAACTGCTAAGTCAATAGTTCAAACCCACGAACAACTCCGTGGGAGACAGAGCAGTCTTTCCACTCCCGTGAACACATACCGTCTCAGAAACCCACAGAGGCAGCCCACCCTGTCATACAGGATCACTGAGTCAGAAATCAGCTCTCTAGCAGTGAGTCCGGTAGAGCCCCAGGAAAGGGGTGGGTTGTTAAGAGCCTTTATGATGAATATGTTGTAGGCGGCTCCCTAGGTGACCCCCTGCGACCTGTTCTTTTTCCTTTCAGCCAACACCTACAAAGCTTGGTCCTTCAGGAAGGACCTGCGCAGCCCTCCGTGATCCCTGTGAACGCTGGTGGTCTGCCCACCCCTCACACTCTCCCAGATCCCGAAGTGACGAAGCACAGCAGCATCTGCACACTCCTTCTGTGTTAAGTAACTCTATTGCTTCCCTTGATGGAAAGCACTTTACTCCTGCTTGCTCGGGGCTGGATGCAGAGAAAACGCAAAAGAAAACAATCCGTGCTGAACTTTTCAGAAAAGAAAACCTGGGTTATACAATCGTGCCATTCTTCTCTTCACAATCAGAGCTGTTTCTATACAAGGGCAGAGAAAATCAGTTCTAGCAGGCATATTAACCAGTTTATGATGATTATAAATGATACGCTTCTCATAGTCATGATTTCTCCCCTATGAAATGTGACTAGCTATTGCGCATTTGGGGGTGGACTAATTGCTGTCATTCTCATAAAGGAAGACACTAATGTATGTATATCTGTAGAGACAGATATGTTTTTGAAAGACTACATATGCCACCCTAAGAATACATTAGTGGAAATTGACTTCTGCATGAAATGATTCCTTTAAAATGTTCTCCCCTGCCGCCGCCCGCCCCACCCCACCCCACCCCACGCCTGTCCTGCCCAAAGCTCGGTCATGAAAACAGTAGGAAGAAATGACAACTGCACATACAGTGTGTGCTCAGTGAATTGCTTGTTACTTACAATTGTTGTGATATTTAAAATGTCAGGGGGAAGGCTATGGTTATTGATTTTGCCTTACAATGAACAGGGCTTTTATGGTTTCTCCCCCCACCCCTATTTCCTTCCTCACTGTTTGACTGAGCCTTTCAGCCTTAATGGAAGTGCGACACAGAGGAGCGCGAATGACATCTGCACGGAAGGCAGTGGCTCCACATCTAGGGGTTTAATTTTTTATTTTAAGTTTCTCATGTGGCCTGATGTCTTTTCAGAGTTCAGTGTAATGGTGGGTTTTTAGGTTTCGGCAGGTGCACTTCTTTAAAGAGTCTAAAGAGTCACTTTTACTTATATAAAGAGCTTCAGAAATGTACTTAAGACAACAACAATAAAAACTCTTCTGAGATCCCAGATCTCACGATGAACAAGACATGTAGCATATGGTATGGCAA